ATTGAATTTTTTTTTTTTTTTTTTTTGGTTCTTTCAGCTTGAGAAATGCTGAGTATGTTCTTCCTTTTTGGTTTTCTAATTCTAGATCTTTGCACATTTCGTTATAATAATTGACTCTGTCTTCTTGAGCTGCCCTTTGAAAGCTTCTGTTTAGTTCTTTTATCTTGTCATTACTTCCATTTGCTTTAGCTACTCTTCATTCAAGGGCAAGTTTCAAAGTCTGTTCTGACATCCATTTTGGTCTTGTCTTCCTTTCCTGTCTTTTTAATGACCTTTTGCTTTCTTCATGGATGATATTCTTAATGTCATCCCACAGTTTCTCTGGGTTTTGGTCATTGGTGTTCAGTGCATCAAATCTATTCTTTAGAGGGTCTCTAAATTCAGGAGGGATATAATCAAGGTCATATTTTGGCTTTTGTGGATCTGTTTAATTCTCTTCAACTTGAACTTGTATATGAGCAGTTGATGGTCTATTCCACAGTAAGCTCCTGGCCTTATTTGGGCTGAAGATATTGAGCTTTTCCATCGCCTCTTGCCACAGATGTAGTCTGTCTGATTCCTGTGTGTTTAATCTGGTGAAGTGTACGTGTACAGCCACTGTTTGTGTTGTTGAAAAAGGTATTTGCAATGAATAAGTCATTGGGCTTGAAAAATTCTATCATACAATCTCCAGCACCTAAAGCTGGAGCTTTTTGAGAAGTGGATGGCCCCTTCTTCTTATAAGTCTGTCTTAGTCTGGAAGCTCCACTGAAACCTGTCTGCCATGGGTGACCCTGCTAGTATTTGAAATACTGGTGGCATAGCCTCCATCCTCACAGCAACACACAAGCCACCACAGTATGACAGACACATCTCTTAGGAGGCAACAATTGGTAAGGAAATGTGTTGTGGAGTTATAAAGGTATAAAGTTGATTCCTACTCCCTTCTTTGACCCATTCAAGGACATCTCTACTTGGAGAACTAGATCTTGATTCAGTGGCAGCATCTGTTCTCCTTTACGCTGCTGTTGAATTTCAGCTTGGACAGTGTGGACCCCAGCTTACCTCCAGTTAAGGTGCTTTAGGTGCTCTGTTTCCAACTTACTTTAAAAACAGAAAACTGACAAGCACAACATGCTAAAGTCCAGGTTTTGTATAGTGTCAAGAAGTTGATTTTGAATAAGAAAGTCTAGCAATTTGCATGAAATTCTGTTGTACTCTAGAAAGCATGATTCTTCTGAACATTAGATTGTTCTAAAAATAGAATTGGATTGAAATGCATAACAGTAACTATAAAAAAGCCTTTGCAAACTATATAGGTGAACTTTTGGAAACAAGGTTTGCTTGGCCTTTCAGATTTTAATTGATGCTCAATCTGTGAAAATAGCAGTTTTTTTTTTTTTTTTAAATAGTCTAATTATGTTTTTTCTGTACCATTGTCAGTTTACATAAAAGAAAAATACCAGTATGATTTGGTTCCTTTCTAAGCCATAATTAGGTTGATATTTTTATTGACAATGTTTCGCCTTAACTCGTAGTTAGTCATAGCAACCAAGAGTCAAGAGAGTGATTATCGGCCAATTATAAAGAATGTAAGCAAGCAGATTGCAGAATATAATAAAACCATCGTGGATGCTCTCCATAGCACCAGTAGAAACTGAGTCTAAACCAACTGCAGATCCCTACAGAAGTAGCCTCTTGCTGCTAAACTTGGTACAAGCAGACTGAAAAACAGAAACTTCCCTTTGAAAAATTTTACTTAAAATTTTTGAATGCTATATTGTTGTGACCTCCTTGAAGAATGATATTTTAAATAACTAATACTTCAGTAAATCATTTGCCATATGAAAAGTAACTTCTTTTTATGATATTTCTGCTTCTTGGGGTTGATGAAAATGTCTTAAAAGAACTAGGAGATAAAGAAACTAAACATGACCACTGAGAGTTCATTTAGCTGGTATAGTGCACCTATGGTGGCAGATGAGTCGTCTTTTCAGGTGTCAGCTAGGAGGGATGTCTAGAGAGTGTGCTTCTGATTTACACTTCCATCAACCTTATCAGTTTGTGCTTCTGGAAAAAAAAATGTGAGAATATAAGGGAGATACTTAGCTTTGAGCTTTATTTCTCAAATAGGGTGTATTTGATATATTTTAGAACATGTAAAGGCACTGGTAGATATATAACATGTTCTTTATATATCAGTTATCCCTAAAGATTTGTAAATAAAAGCTTTTTATCTTTGTGTTATTAGAAGATTTTGTCACATGTCTATGCTAGGAAAAAGATGAGGTCTAAAAGAAATGTTGTGCATATGGTAGGTTGTTTGCTTTGGCTATTGTTGCTTATTCCCAACTTGGAGGACACATTCTCTGTCTTGTACTGTTAGGAAGACTTGTAGATTTTGTAAGCATTAGGCAGAGCATTGGAAAGGAAAAATTAGAAGTAGAATTGTATAATATTTATTCACCATTCTTGAGGGAAGAGAGGCAGGGAATGAGAGACATTACAGATATATTTATCCTCTTTTGTGGGACAGGGATGAGTCATCTGGCCAACATAAAATATTCTTGTAAACTTTGCTCCTTGGTGTGAAATATCCCTTAAAGCTGTCCTCCTTTTCTCTGATCTTACATTCACATAGTATTGCTATTCTGTATTCCTGAAACAAAGCAGATTTAAATTAAAAAAAAAAAAAAAAGCTTTATTGAGATATAATTTACATACATAAAATTACCTGTGCTTGTTGCTTTCCTGAATACTTCCCATTGTAACTTAGTCACTTTAGTCTGTGTGACTTTAGGTAGAGGGTTGAGCATCATTGACCTTAGTTAATTCTGTGTTACTGATATGGCTGAAGCTCCTGTCAGTGATGCAGCCATTCAGGCAACATGTTCTAGAATACATTTCTCAGATTCTGAGTTCCTCAAGTTATTGCTGTTGTTGTTGTTATGTGCTGTCGAGTCAGACCCAACTCATAGCGACCCCTCCTTGGGTTTCCGAGGCAGTATCACTACAGAAGTAGATTGCCCTATCTTCCTATGGAGGAATGGCTGGTCGGTTTGAACGGCCAGCCTTCTGGTTAGCAGTCAAGTGCCTTAGGCACTATGCTACCAGAGCTCCTCTTCAAGTTATTAGTAGATGTTATACCACCAAAGGATCTATGTTGTTGTTGTTATGTGCCATCAAGTTGGACCCGACTCATAGCTACCCCTCCTTGGGTTTCCGAGGCAGTATCACTATGGAAGTAGATTGCCCCATCTTCCTTCCGAGGAGTGGCTGGTGGGTTTGAACCACCAGCCTTCTA